GCACCGCCTCCAGAGCCAGAAATGAAAGGAGAAGCCTTTACCTTTGTCTGTGCATTTGTGTTTCATTGTATTTCAGAGCTTTGAATGTTTGCCTGTGTCTATGTACATAGGCTGGAATCTGCTCTGAGCCCCCTTAGGGAGACAGAGTGAAATAAATAACCTGTGTTGGACGGGGTTACACTCCCCCTGAAGCCACAGGACTACAGTTTGGGAGTCCTATTGGATTCATCACTTACGCTTGAGGCTCAGGCGTCGGCGGTGTCCAGGAGGGTTTTTGCACAATTGAGACTCGTGCGCCAACTGCGACCGTACCTCGCAAAGGCTGATCCGGCTGGGGTGGTCCATGACTTGGTCACCTCTAGATTGGACTACTGTAATGCGCTCTACGTGGGGCTGCCCTTGAAAACGGCTTGGAAATTCCAACTGGTCCAACGGGCAGCAGCCAGGATGTTAACTGGGGCTCCTTACAGAGAGAGGCTCACCTACAAAGCCCTAAATGGTTTGGGACCATCCTACCTGCGTGACCGCATCTCCATTTATGAACCCACGCGCTCACTTCGTTCATCCAGAGAGGCCCTGCTTGTGATTCCGCCTGCATTGCAGGCGCGCTTGGTGGGGACGCGAGACAGGGCCTTTTCTGTGGTGGCCCCCGACTCTGGAACACCCTTCCAAAAGTTCTTAGACAGGTCCCTACATTGGCAGTCTTTAGAAAGAACTTGAAGACCTGGCTGTTCTGATGTGCCTTTCCAGAATAGGAAACTCCAATAACAAGTCCCAGAAGCACTTTATTAGAACTAAGATTCCTGCACACTGCACTTACCCTATAATCCTACATATCTCCTGTCACATCAGCACTTTTAATCTTGTACCCATTACCCTGGCCTGGCCCAGTTTTATAGTGTCTTGATGTATTGTTTATTGCTTGTTGTTTAATATTGCTTTAACTGTTTTTAATTTGCTTTAGGTGTTGTATTGTTATGTTGTGTTTTGAGGCCTTGGGATACATCAATCTGGGACTTATTTATTTATTTATTTTGCTAGAATGGGGCAGAAAATCTGACCTAGACATCCATTTCCAATAATAATAATAACAATACCACGTTATATTATTATTATTATTATTGGAAATGGATGTCTAGGTCAGATTTTCTGCCCCATTCTAGCAAAATAAATAAATAAATAAATAATAATAATATAACGTGGTGTTGTTATTATTATTATTATTATTATTATTATTATTATTATTATTGGAAATGGATGTCTAGGTCAGATTTTCTGCCCCATTCTAGCAAAATAAATAAATAAGTCCCAGATTGATGTATCCCACCAGGGTGAGGATAGTGATAGAAATTGGTCTTTGGTTAAGAAGTCAGAAATAGTGGAACATAAAAGCAACATGTGTCGAGTGCATCACTGCTTCTGTCCTTTTCTGTAGTCTTAACACCACCCAAAAGAATGGTGCATGCATATTTTGTAGAATTTGGATGGCACCTGAAAATGGAACATTTGGTGCAAGGACAAAAAACATCCTAAGAATGTATCTCACTTGGCTGGAAACATGGAAAAATGGAAAAGGAATGCAGATGTTTTGAGAACTCTCGATGCGTCTTGATGTAAGGCCGGTATGGAAAAAAACCCAACAGCAGACATTATGAACACATGTCGGATTTGTTGGAAGCATGGGAAACTTTGGCAGGGTGGCCAGATTTCCGGGAAGACGATCCAGAAATACTGGAACCACAATATTCGAATGGAATCCTGGCTTAAGTAAAGGAGGTTTGGCTGTTTTGTTGACAAAAGTGTAAAATTTGGGGGCCTTTCAGTTTAGGAAAAAAGAGGGCATGGCGGAATATGATACGCTAAAATGCTATTAATGTGGATGAGTCACCAAATGAAACTGCTAGGCAATAGACACAAGGAAGATGCTCATGCCCCACAAGACGGCTAAAATGGCTTAGAGGGGAATTAAATAGATTAGGAATGTAGGAAGTCTTATATGGAGTCAAACCACCAATGCATCTAGTCCAGGATCAACTAGGATTGGCCTTAGTGCCACATCGGCACCGGGATTGTGGCGCAGCTGGCTGAGTGTCAGCTGCATTAAGATCACTCTGACCAAAAGGTCATGAATTCGAAGCCAGCCCGGGTTGGAGCGAGTTTCCAACCAATTGTGTAGCCTGTTGTCGACCTTTGCAACCTGAAAGACAGTTGCATCTGTCAAGTAGGAAAATTAGGTACCACCTTGTGTGGGGAGGCTAAATTAACTAATTTATGAGGCCATAAAAACACTCCAGCAAAGCACTCCAGCAAAAAACATGCGGGGAATGCGGAAGTACTTCATCAGTGTCAGAGATGGACGATGAAAGTGACAGCTCCCCTGGTGGCCAGAAAAAGTTAAATAGCCTCTGTTTATGCCTGTATACGTTGCATGTCAAAATTGGCATTGAATGTTTGCCATATATGTGTACACTGTAATCCACCCTGAGTCGGAAGGGCGGAATATAAAAGCTGTAAATAAAATAAAAATAAATAATCGGGCTCTAGGTAAGAGACTTTCCTGGTGGTCTCCCATCCAAGAACTAACTAGGCCTGGGCTTTGACATAAGATCATGATCCAAGCCCTCCCGACAGATGGCCATATACAGAGTGATAAGCAAGTGAATTAATTAAAAAAAACTTCTCTTTGGCCCCATCTACACTGCCATATAAAATCCAGATTGCCTGCTTTGAACTGGATTATAGGGTAGTGTAGACTCATATAAATCAATTCAAATCAGATAATCTAGATTATCCGATTTGATAATCTGGACTGTATCACAGTGTAGACTCATATAAATTAATTCAAATCAGATAATCTATATCATCTGATTTGATAATCAGGATTATATCACAGTGCAGACTCATAAATCAATTCAAATCGGATAATCTAGATTATCCGATTTGATAATCTGCATTATATTGCAGTGTAGACTCATATAAATCCATTCAAAGCAGATAATCCTGATTACCCGATTTGATAATTTGGATTATATGGCAGGGTACATCCAGCCTTTGTCAGCATGGTCATAGCTGACGTCTTCCATGACAGTTGGAGCAATGGATCCACTTTGGATTTTAGTCCGAATTTTAAATACAATTTCAAACCTTGGAGTGCAGTGCCTTGGGACTAAAAATGAACAGATTCACCTCCTTCAAGGCATTGGAAGCATCAACTCTATTTCATTTACATTATTTCACTCTTCCAACAGCCATTGAAACATGTCCTTCTCCATAGCACTCCATCACATTCTGGCTCTAATCCTAATTTCTCTCCAATCTGTAAGAACGAATTTCTGTAACTACTGGACTACAGTGTTCCCTCGCTACTTCATGGCTCACCTACCGCAGACTTGCTATTTTGTATACACACACACATACTAGCCGTCCCCCACATGGGGGTTCTGTGTGGGAGGTTTGGCCCAATTCTATCGTTGGTGGGCTTCAGAATGCTCGTGATAAAAATGTAATGTTCATTTGTGGGATTAACATAACTCAAAAACCACTGGACAAATTGACACCAAATTTGGACACAAGACATCTAACAATCCAATGTATGTCCTTCACTCAAAAAAACTGATTTTGTCATTTGGGAGTTGTAGTTGCTGGGATTTATAAATAACCTACAATCAGAGAGCATTCTGAACCCCACCAACTATGGAACTGAACCAAACTTGGCACACAGTTCTCCCATGGCCAACAGAAAATACTGGAAGGGTTTGGTGGGCAGTGGTTTTGGAGTTGTAGTTCACCTACATCCAGAGATCACTGTGGACTCAAATAATGATGGATCTGTACCAAACTCTACACGAATACTCAATATGTCCAAATGTGAACACTGGTGGAGTTTGGGGAAAATACAGTCTTGACATTCGGGAGTTGTAGTTGCTGGGATTTATAGTTCACCTACAATCACAGAGCATTCTGAATCCCACCAACCATAGAATTGGGCCAAACCTCCCACACAGAACCCCCATGTGGGCCACAGCAACGTGTGGCACGGTACGGCTAGTGATCATATAAAACCTCCAGCATGGTGCAGTAGTTTGAGCACTGGATTATTACTGTGGAGAACATGCTTGAACAGAGGCTGGATGGCCATCTGTCAGGGGTGATTTGAATGCAATATTCCTGCTTCTTGGCAGGGGGTTGGACTGGATGGCCCATGAGGTCTCTTCCAACTCTTTGATTCTATGATTCTATGAACCCCTACTTTGTCATGGAGACAATCAGAAGACGCTATGATAGAATCATAGAATCCTAGAGTTGGAAGAGACCTCATGGGCCATCCAGTCCAACCCCCTGCCAAGAAGCAGGAATATTGCATTCAAATCACCCCTGACAGATGGCCATCCAGCCTCTGTTTAAAAGCTTCCAAAGGAGGAGCCTCCACCACCCTCCGGGGCAGAGAGTTCCACTGCTGAAAGGCTCTCAGGTTTGTCTTAGGGTCGCCATAAGTTGGGAGTGACTTGAAGGCACACGAAAACTTCCATGTTCAGAGACCATGTACTCTTAATATCAGTAGATGGAATAAGCAGCCAGCAAGTGGTCTTCCATCCTCTACTTTTGAGTTGCTTGAAAAGATTTGGTTGATGATTGTCAGGATACTTGGGTAGGTGGAAACTTGGAACCTGAGGAATGACCTTAAAGGTATCTAGAAATTCCATATTGATAGGCATTGTACACTGAACATCAGTTGCCAGTGTAGGCAAATAACAGATCTGTGACATCTACACTTACGAGTTGCCTGCAAACATTTAACCGACGGTTGTCCAAAACCGGAATAGGTTGATCCAACTTGATCTGATCCAGTAAAGCTCTTTTTAACTCTGAACATTTCCACCCTAGGACTCAGGACTCATTGGATGCCTTTGGCATTTACATGTCTTTCATTTGTCACTGCTGGTTTTTTAAAAAAGCATTTCTCCTTTCGGAACAGAACAGAATAAATTCACAAGACTTACCCACAATGTGGAGGGTTGGATTTTCCCTTTTCTCCTCTCAGGAATTCTTCACTCAGTCGCTCTGTTCCGTTCCTTCTCCAGAAACTCAAAGTGGAAAGCAATGCCTTTCCACCCTTTCCGTCCCCGTCCAACCCTCTTTTTTATTAAAAACAACAACAATCTTGCCTACCCGGAGACGTTATTTATATACCTTATAAAAGCATGTGCATATTTTTCAAGGGCCTTGAATATTCCCGATCTGTTAATGGAAATCCCTTTCCCCAGAATTATGAAGTGAAGCATTTCGTTCCACAGTGCGTTTGTCTCTGTGTGTCGTCGAAAGACATTCATTCGCTTCAGGCTTTGCCAAAACAACCAGGAAGGCTCACCAAAAGAGGAAGGAATGCCAGATAAAATGGCTCAGTGTCATTTTTTAAAAAAATCATAGACCAATTTAATCCATTTTTGAAAGGGGTTTTCCTGCTAATCTTGCCTTGGGTTTGGGGGTAATTGAATCCAAATGACTAACCGTGTCAACTAGAGTTGGCAATAACTTTCTCTGTGACCACATTGATGCGTTGTCATGAGTTGTTCAATATGGAAAAAGACCGATCTCTATCTATCTATCTATCTATCTATCTATCTATCTATCTATCTATCTATCATCTATCTTATCAACAATATCATACGAAAGCTGACTGGCACAACCTGGGGATCACAACCAGACACAGTGAAGACATCTACTCTGCTGCTGAGTATGAATGCCCAGTGTGGAACACATCTCACCACACTAAAACAGTAGATGCGGCTCTTAATGAGACATGCCGCATTATCATGGGGTGTCTGCGCCCTACACCACTGGAGAAACTACACTGTCTAGCCGGTATTGCACCACCTGACATCTGCCGGGAAGTAGCAGCCAATAGTGAAAGGACCAAGGCAGAGACATCTCCAGTTCATCCCCTGTTTGGGTATCAGCCAGCACACCAATGACTTAAATCAAGAAATAGTTTTCTAAGATCTACAGAGACACTCGCTGGAACACCTCAGCAAGCAAGAGTCCAAAAGTGACAGGCTCAAACCCAGAACCTCACTCAATGGCTGATACCAAATAGAGACTCTCCCCTGGGCACACAGAAAACTGGGCGACTTGGAAGGCGCTGAACAGACTGCACTCTGGCACCATGAGATGCAGGGCCAATCTTAAGAAACGATAGTTCTGTAAGTAAGCTTTTAATGCGAGGGCGTTAATTTAATGGCGTCCCTAGATCTAGACACTATGCTCCTCTTGATGCAGGCCAAAATCCCATTGGCTTTCTTTGCCGATACATCACATTGTTGGCTCATGTTTAACTTGCTGTCCACGAGGACTCCAAGATCTTTTTCACACATCCTGCTCTCGAGCCAGGCATTGTCCCCCATTGTGTATCTTTGCATTTTGTTTTTCCTGCCAAAGTGGAGTATCTTGCATTTGTCACTGTTGAACTTCATTTTGTTAGTTTTGGCCAATCATCTCTCTAATCTGTCAAGATCGTTTTGAATCCTGCTCCTGTCCTCTGGAGTATTGGCTATCCCTCCCAATTTGGTGTCGTCTGCAAACTTGATGATCATGCCTTCTAGCCCTTCATCTACGTCAGTAATAAAGATGTTGAACAGGGCCGGGCCCAGGACAGCTTATATAACCCAGAAAATCAAGGCAGAAAACCCCACAATATCTGCTTTGCACTTGGTTATCTGAGTCCACGCTGCCTTATATTCCAGTTCAAAACAGACAATGTGGAATTTTATTCAACTGTGTGGGAGGGGCCTTAGAAAATTGGCAATTTATGGGGTTTATTTATTTATTTACTTTACTTGTATACCGCAGTTTCTCAGCCTAACAGGCGACTCAACGCGGTTTACAACAAGGATAAGATCAATCAACGATATACAATTTAAAACCATTAGAGCACAATATACAATATTGACACAACAATTGCCATAAGTCAACAGACTACTTGAAAGCACAGACACCCAGAGTTACATTATTTAAAGCTCAGGAAAGTAACAACTACAACAAATCCCTTAGGAGGTCAAGCAATTGTGCAAACCGTGACCATATTTGGTGAGCCCAGAACTAAAGCCACATTGGAATCAGAGTCTTCTTCCAGACGTCCATCAACCCCTCCATCAGCCAGCCTTCAGGGACCTTTGCAAAGTTGAGAAACTGACCTTTCCCCCACAAATGCAAACAAGTTGCCCATTCTCTGATTCCTGCAGGCAAAGCCTGATGTGTCCAGACCAGCCGTGACTCCCCTCCCTGTCCAAGACCCTGGAATTCCCCTAAAGGCGCCCAAGGGGTTAACCCGGAGGGGTCTTGCCATGGGAGGCCTCCAGCGGCTGGTCTCACGCTGACATGATGGCCAGGCTCATGTTTCACACTTAATTACTCCTTCAGCCATCACGCCTCCGAGAGATCGATGCGTTGCTCTGTTTAGGCCTCGCAGCTGTGAACTGTTTATTTACTTATCCTTCGGCAGGGAATGGATGTAATTTCAAGGTTCAGGACTTGACTACCCCTGCACCGTCTCCTCCAAAAAATGTGCCAGGACTTTCCTTTAAACACTTCCATATTGCTTTGATGGAATCTGGATTCCAAAGCTGCTTCTTCTTTCGGAGGGTGTGGGAAAGGGTAATTGCTCTGAAGGACAAGTTATGATCAGAGGTGGACCAATGTTGATGTGCTCTCCTCTTTCTTTCTTTCTTTCTTTCTTTCTTTCTTTCTTTCTTTCTTTCTTTCTTACTCAGAGGTGTGGGCTGATGTTTTGTACACAAACATCACACCTTGGCAGGGGTCTCCAAAGGCCCAACACTCTCAAAGGGCACCAAATGGTCTCATTAAGATGTCCACCATCACTCAGGTACCAAATGGGATTTCACTTTCATGCCAGCTTTGTCAAGCAGTCCTGAAGGTGTGACTTCTCAAATTATGGGCCACCTGTGGGGGCCCAAAAACACATTGGCTTGGGTCTTTAATTCGCCTTCCGTAGGTGGAACAGAGCCGGCATTCACCGGACCGACGGGGCTTTTTCACCTCCTCCGTCCCACTGTTATCCCCTTGGCACCCCGAACCGACTTCTGAAAGTTGGAAGACCATTAGGAAATGGTGCAAGAAATTGCAGCTGCTTAAGGGAATTGGAGGAAAATGCTCTCTCCATCTTATGAATGGATCCATTATTCGGGCTTGTGGATAGATACTCAAATCTCTCCATTTGTATATGGGGAAGGAGAACTATTCCATTTTTTATTTTTTATTTTTTGCTTTCTCCCATGTTTTACTTTTGTGCATTGTGGCCCATTATTATGATCTAAAACTAACTTGAATGAAATCTTTACCAGATTCATGACTCTATATAGCCTTTTAATCCAGCCCCATCATTAGGATAATTTGAGGAGTGGTATCCTTAAGGTGCTTCTGCACAAAGGAATTACAATACTTCCATCCCACTTTAACTGGCCAATGCCTCCATCTATATAATACTGAGATTTAAGGCATTATGTGATAAAAGTCGCTTTGAGTCCCCTTTGGGGAGATAAAGAGGAGTATCAAATAATAATAACAATAATAATAATAATAATAATAATAATAATAATAATAATAATAATAATTTTATTTATATAGAATCATAGAATCAAAGAAGAGATCTCATGGACCATCCAGTCCAACCCCCTGCCAAGAAGATGATTGTTGTTGTTGTCACTCCTAATACAAAACCCCAAAATCATGGAGTTCGTTTGGAGAAAACTCTGCAAGGTTTCCTTTTTTCTAAAAGGGATGAAGAAGAAGGACTTCTAAATGGAAAAGAATACTTCTGGGAAATTTTGGCACCATTCTACGAGCGGTATTTTTAAAGTAAGGTCCGTTTTGTTGTAGACACTAATAGTTTGCGTGCATACCGCAACGAGCGCGTGCGTCGTGTACCGGCATGCCTCGGGAACAACTGTGCTCAGTTTCCGCTTTGTAGCTAACCTGTACGGTTCTGTTCTGTGCTTTAAAAATGTTTAAGACTATCAACTCAGGCGCCGCATGTGAGGTTCGCTCAGTGAAACGGTTTTTGTCAGCAAGGAACCTGCCTGCTGCAGAAATTCATCGACAGATTTGTGAAGTGTACGGTGATACTGTTAAGAGTGAAAGCAAAGTGCGTAAGTGGGTACGACAATTCAAAGATGGCCGTGACAACGTCCATGATGAGGACCGCTCCGGTCGCCCTTCTTTGATTACAGACGATTTGGTGGCTTCAGTTGAAGCGAGTTTTTATGAAGAGGGTATTTTAAAATTGGTTCAGAGGTATGATAAGTGTTGGAACAAACTTGGCAACTATGTCGAAAAATAGAGTGAAGTATGTACTTTCGGAAAATAAATTTACTTTTTTGAAATAAACTTTCGTTGTGTACTTATGTTCCAACGGACCTTATTTAAAAAATACCCCTTGTATTTAAAAATAATGTGCTCACATTCAAACAATCTCAGAGAATCAATGTACGCACACCCGCCAATCATTTCTCCATCAGTCCATTAACTGCTCTCCTCCCCAAGAATCAACAAGCTCCTCTTGTTTTGCAGCACAGCAGAGTTTAAGGGATTTAAAAAATAATACCTAACATGTAAGTGCATAAACGAACATGTGTATTACAGGGCAATTACAGCTTTACTCTGTAAGATAACAAAGAGATGCCAATTCACCCCTGGCAGATTAGCTAAAATACACACTTGTTTCTCATTGTAACAAGGAGATCAAACCCTCAGAAGCCACAAACAAAGGGGAGTATCCACATTGCACAACTAGAGCAGTTTGATGGCCCTTTAATTAACCATGGCTCCAATCCAGGGAATCCTCAGTTCTATAGTTTCATGTTAAGGAGGTTTAGGAGACATTTACACTGAAGAATCTTTAACTATTATACTATGGAATACTTACAGTGGTAGTTTGGGGAGCATTCTTAGATGGAGGAGCCAAACGATAATAGGATTGGAGAAGTTTGGAGGATGCAATATGGTGGCCCGGCTGCCAATACAATTGCTATTGCACTTATTTTCATTGGCAAAGGGTAAAATAATAATAATAATAATAATAATAATAATAATAAGGGAAAAGAAAGAGTTTGTGTTATGAGTTTGTGCCAGGGGCATGCCTAGCCGTGCCCCTGGGAGATGTTGAAACATCTGCACCAAATGTAAACAGATGACTCACATGGAACAGAGGATCCAACAACTTGAGGAC